GAGCTGGGGGAAAATGCTCATCAGTTTGAGGAGGGGAAACAGGAATGGTTAAGGAGTTCAGACTGTGTGTCCACACACGTTTTGAGGCTTCCCCAGCCCTGTGTTTCCAGGGAGAGCCCGCCGGGTGAAGGGAATGAGAAACAAGGCCTGGAGTGGGGGCTGAGTGCTCTGGAAGCTGTGTTTGCCCCATAAAGAGTAGAAAAAGTTGAGTGTTTAGCCTCTACGGGAGCAGACTTAAGGCGGATGGGAATTTTTCTTTTGCAATAGTGGGGATTGAACACAAGGCCTTTGTGCTACGTCCCCAGTCCTTTAACATTTAAAAATTTTTTTATTTTGTGACAGGTACCACCCTGCCCCATTCTGTTCCCAGCTCCCTTTTCTCTCTTTCTCTTTTTCTCTCTTCCTCTCTTCCTTTTTCTCTATTTCTCTCTCTCTTTCTTTTTTTTGTTTGTTTGTTACCAGGGATTGAACTCAGGACTGTGTGCTTACAAGGCAAGCTGTTCTATTTCTCTCTTGTTTTTTTTTTTCTCCATTTAAAAAAAAAATATTTTGAAGGTAGGAAAATACAATAGAATAAGATAGAACAAAGCCAAATGAGACAATGCAGTGAAATTGGTACAGAACTTCACAGCAGGTTATTGGGATAACAGTAATAGGTACTATAGTGTATCTTGTTATCTTCACAATAGTTGTCCTTTCAATCAGGTACAGCAAAAATCAAACCAAATATAGTACATTATAGAACTTATCAAAACAGAATATTGAATAGAAATACAGTTAATCAGAACAAAGCAAAACAGTGATAACAATATTTGCCTTCAAAGAGATGGTAGAAGGGAATCCCCCATATTTGCTATGTTGCATATGGTCAGCCTCCCAAGAGATGCTCATATCTCTGGCTCCTATTTGCTACCAGGGGCGGGGGTGGGGGAGAAGGATGGGAGTTTGAGTTTCAGCCTGCACATAGGTAGGCTCATGGCTGCCTACCAGGGAGGTGAGTGGGTTGTTTTCTTTCCCGGCGCCCTAAGTTCCAACATAGTGGGATCTCGGGAGATGCTGGCTGGCTCTCTCCCTAGGGCACACACTGCTTGCTCAAACCATGGTTGCTTATCAGGGAGGCAAGTGGGTTGCTTTCTTTCCCAGTGCCCTGAGTTCTCACATGGAGGGATCTCAGGAGAAGCTGGCTGGTTCTCTCCCTGGGGCTTGCTCGAGCCATGGCTCTCGGTTTTTTTGAGACAAGGTCTTGGTATTTAGTTCAGGCTAGCTTTGAACTCGCTACATAGCCCAGCCTGGCCTCCATCTTGCCCTGAGCCTCTTGAGTGCTGGGATTATAGGGATTATAGGTGTGTTCCACCATGCCTAGCCCAGGATGTTTCTGAATTGCTAAGTAGTCCAGGCTGTGCTCAAACTTGCTACCTTTCTTTCCTTTTTTTTTTTTTTGTCTTTTTCCTTTTTGTCGGTACCAGGGATCGAACTCACGACTGCCTGCTTGCAAGGCAGGTGTTTATGCTGCTGAGCTAAATCCCTAGTCCCATTTGCTGCCTTTCTGATTCAACCTCTTGAATAGGTGGGATTAGCTTGTAGATATAATATTCTTTTTCAGGGACTGTTTAGTTGAGTATCTAAACTAATCCTGGACAGTGATCTAGACTGGACCTGAAAGCATTGTTCTTTTCTGAATCAACCTGCCAATGGTACATGCCTATAATCCCAGCACTTGGGAGGCCGAGGCAGGAGGATCACAGTGAGCTTGAAGCCAGCCTGGGCTACGTAGGAAGACTCTCTCTCTCTCTCTCTCAAAAAAAAAAAAAACCCAAAACGCACCTGGCATGTTGAATTCTGGGTTTTATTCTAGAGCTGACCTTGGGCCCTAGTGCTAAGGCTAGCCTCTTATTCCTCGAGACCGCATGTAGGCAGAGTTTGATATGAAGAGAACAGAGCATCTCTTTAGATGCTATGGGAATAAAGTCTTTGCAGCAGATTCTTCCTTCCCCTGGGGTTAAATCAGGAATGGACTTGCTCCTGGATCAAGGGCTGAAGGTCATTTTAGGCCATCTTTGTGTGGACTTGGTCCAGGACTGGACGGGGACTGACTTGCCTCTAGAGGTGGAGGAGTCAGGCATATTTGTCTCTGAGGTTAACCTGCAGATACCTCTGTTTTCTGAGCCCATGGTCCCCTCTTGGCCTTGACTTTGAGGCAGGGGGTTGAGCTGTACTTGAAGAGCAGTGCACTTGGCGCTCTAGGGCCACCAGGCAGCTGTATTTGCTGGGGCAGCCATCTGCCATGCCCATTTCCTGATCCCACAGGCCCTGGAGGGAGCTGGGCTCTGGGTCAGTGCTGGCCGGCTCTGAGCCATTCCCTCTACGTCTGTGTGGTTTTCATAGGACCCCTTCCTTCCCACTGAATCCTCAGTATCAATAAAGAGCAGATCAGAGCAAGATGGCGGGTCTGTGACTGAGAAATTAGCTCAGGAGTTAGGGGAAGAGGGTAGTGGGATACAAAGAGGGGTCAAATGTGTGGGTGTGGCAGTGAGAAACAGTAGGTTCAAAATCTTGCGTCCTCATTGCTGAGAGTGCTCCAGTAGAGGTGGCGAGTAGGTTGGCTGTCCTGTCCTCCCTGCCCACACCTGTGGGACCTGAGAGGAGACCTTGAGGTGCACAGCTGCAGACTTTATGCATTAGAACTAGGCCCCTGTGTCTATTTAATTTGGTGGTGTGAGCAGGGGTTACCTTGAAGGTCAATGGGGAATTTGCACTAGTGCATCCTGTTCCCCCAGGCGCATATGGCAGCACACTTGTACCTGATGTTTCTGGTGGGACATCTGCTCTGTGTTGAGGTATGAGGTGGGATTGGAGCCTGATAGTGAGGGGCTGGGTTACAGGAAGGGGAGAAGGCAGAAGTGTAGTGGGAAGAAAGGAATAGATGACTGTTGGAGGAAGATCAACAGATTTGACAGATTTGTAGAGGGCAAGATACAGGCACTTTGCTCATTTTGCAGGATGCCTGGGGAGACTGTCCACTGTGTCTTTAATTATTAACTTAGCACTGGGAAGGTCTGGAGTGTGCATTTTGCTCAGCCCTATGTTGTTTATTGTCTTGTTTATTAGTCAGAAGGGCAAGCCTTTGAATGGGATAGGAATGTCCTTTTTCTGGAAGAACAGAAAAAAGTCTGGTAGGGAGTAGGATGAGGGTGGGGGGGATGGTGGAGGGAGGGAGGGAGAGAGGGCAGTCTTTCCAGCTTCTCAGAATGAAGTCCTCTCTGGCCCAGAAAGGATGAGGCCAGGAAGCAACAAAACAGGAAGAGTGGGGAAACCAAGGCCTTGCACTGTGAGGAGACCTCAGGCAGGGAGTGGTGTGTGACAGCACTGGTGGCCTGAAGCAGATAAACGTACCCTTTCTCCACAGTAAGGCAGAGTGAGGCTGCTCTGGCCCTTGGGGCCCTTGGGAGAAGGTCTTTAAAGTAAGCATTCCTGAGCTGGGTGTGATGGCACATTGTAATCCTGGCATCCGAGGATCACCAAAAGTTTGAGGCCAACCTGGACTACATAGTAAGATCAAATCCAATCTGAAATATATAGTGAGTGCCACCCTCACAAACAAGTAAGCAAACCAACCAACCCCCAAGAAACCAAGAAAGTAAGCAGTACCATGGTGTTCCATATGCTGGGCTTGGGAGGAGGTAGATCGCCAAGGGGAAGGTGTTTGCTCCAAGGCAAGGTGTTGCTTGTGCCTGTCTGCATGCCTGAAGGCCAGCAGAGTATCCAGCTGAGGGGCCAACAAAGGGTACCTGCACCCCCATTGTTTCTGTCTTCTCTGCTACATCTTGGTATTACTGGTCAACCTCACAGCATGTGCAGACTTTCCTTCTTGAATTTCTTTTAAAGTAATGAATTGCAACTTTTTTGGGAGGCAGTTAATAGATACTCTAAATTGTGATGATGATGATGATTTTTTGGTGCTGAGAACCTTGGGCATGCTAAGCATGTGTTCAGCCACTGAGCTACACCCTTAGTCCCTTCTGAGATTCTTACGAAAGTTGTGGACTGTTTTGTTTTGTTTAAATAAAGATGTATGTAATCATACAGGTACAATACTTTGGCAAAGAAATTCAGGCCTTGTGGAGATCCCCATTAGGAACTCTTTTTTTTTTTGTGTGTGTGTCGGGGATTGAACTCACAATCTCACATTTGGCAGGCAGGCGCTTATGCCACTGTACTAAGTCCCTGGCCCAGAACTCTGGTTTTTTAAGGATGGTCTCTAAACTTTACTGATGCTCACTTGGGTAAAGGGCTTGCCTCTAGCACAATGAAGAAGGTCTTGAGAAATGTGAATAGCTCTTCTGCGTTGTCCAGGCATGAAGAAATGCCCGATCCCCATTCTATTGGACTTGGTTTTAGCTGCAAGAGTCTTTTAAATCACAAAAACAAGCAGCTGAGCTGGCAGGCAGTGGGCAGGAAGTCTGGCCTCCATCCTAATGCTTGGCCACACATCCTGACCTGCTGCCCAAACATTGGCTAAGTCCCAGCAGGATTCTGGAAGGTTAGCAGGAATACTGAAGTCAGAGGAGTGGGTGCTGGAGCTGTTGTGAGGAGGATAGGGGTGGGAGTGTATGATGAGAGACTGTCCTAAAAGCCAAGAGCCAAAACATCACTGACCTCACACAGCTACCAATGGCTCCCACTGCTGTGGTTAGGAATTTGGTGCACTGTCCTGGGTAAGCAAAGCTATGATCACGTTGTCTCCTGTATAAGGTGCTAGGGCAGGGGCACAGGCATGTGGTGGTGTGTCCTACCCAAGTGCTCTGCAGATGCCTTTGAATGATCATGGCAAGGACATTCTGGGGCAGAGGTTTCTTATACAGAGCAGACCAGAACTCAAGACATGAGCTCTTTTGGCCCAAGGGTACATCTTGGTGACTGGTGATAGAAATATTGCTTGGGAGCCTAAGGCCTTCTGGGTGGGAAGGGTCAGTCACCAATCAGTATTATTTTTCTTTCAGGTCTCTTAACCTTCATTAATTGTGCCTATGTCAAGTGGGGAACCCTGGTACAAGATATTTTCACCTATGCTAAAGTATTGGCGCTGATTGCGGTCATCATTGCAGGCATTGTTAGACTTGGCCAGGGTAAGAAATAATAGCAACTAACACTTGTTAAGCATTTTCTGTGAGCCACACTCCTCCAAGTACACTTCGTGCATTATTTCATTGAGGCTTTCCAATAACCTGATTTAATAGGAACTGTTAAAATTCCCTTTTTATTACCGAGGAGGAAACAGGCTGTAGAATTCAGTATCTTGCCCAAATGGCTAGTGGTTAAGAGAGGAGGTGAAATTTGTACACAGGCCAACTGACCGAAAAGCTGTCTTTAGCTTGTCTCTGGAGGAGGCTGATTTTGGCAAAAGAGCCGACAGCCGTGCTCTGGGAGTTGGCTTTTATAGTTGATGCTGACTGCTCTGCCTCTGGGAGTGGTCAAGGGTCAGGGATGAACTCCTCATCCCTTTCCTCTCTGGTTTCCCAGTATGAAACCTAACTGCTCTGTAGACCCAGGCATCCTGAGTCCTGTCCTGCTTCTACCTGTGCCAGCCCTACCTGGAGCTAGAAAGGCCTCGGGCACTCTGAGAAGAGCAGGGTGCAGTTCCTGTTCTCCGGCCCTTTTGCTCTGTGGTGGTTTTCTATCCTAGAGCTGCTTGGGTGCTTTCTGTCAAGATTCCCATTCGTCCCATTCTCTATCTGCTGGCCCTCTGTAGATGCCTCTTCTGCTCCCTGTCCTTACAACAATCTCAGGTGCTATAAACCGTTCATCTGCTGCTGCTTCTGTACCTAGCACTGTACTCCTTTCCTGGGTCAGCTGGAAGTCAGGGGAAGGAACTACTAACCCTGCTGCCTTTCACTGTGCTTGGGTTCCAGGAGCCTCGGCTAACTTGGAGAATTCCTTTGAGGGTTCATCGTTTGCAGTAGGGGACATTGCCCTGGCACTGTACTCCGCTCTCTTCTCCTACTCAGGCTGGGATACCCTCAACTATGTCACTGAAGAGATCAAGAATCCTGAGAGGTAGGTGTCTCACCACTGATTTTTCACAGCAGCGACAGCCATCATTTAATGAACTCTTACTTTGTGCCAGGCAACATAACACAACCGCCATGGGGCCAATTTCATGAGCCCTATTGTAATGTGTGAGAGGCCTGAGGTCCTGAGATTTAACTGGTCCATGAGCCAGTAATAGAGCTAAGATGTGAAGTTTCTTGAGAACTCTTTGTAAATTCATCCCTGCGAGTTGCACAATGTGCTCGTGTGTGCATTTAAAATAAATGCTCCTTGCACTTATTTTGGAGGCACATGTCTATAGCCCTGCTACTGAGGAGACTGAGATGGGAGGATTGCTTAAGCCCTGGAGTTTTATGACCAGCCTCAACCTTGACAGTGAGACCCCTTTCTCAAAAACAAACAAACAAAAAACCCAAAAAATACCCTTTTTTAAAAATCTTGGTAATCTCACCCACCTTTATTCCTGTGTAGAGAATTTTAGGTCACTGTCTTCCATTCCTGTTTTCCTTTGGTTCCTTTTGATTCCCTAATGTCTACAGACAATGTGGTATTGTTTCAGTCACCTGAACATTACTACAGAGTGCTTTGTGGGCTTGCAAGGTGAAGAGAACTCTGGCCGGGGTGACAGAGGTCCTGAGCCGGTCTTCCCAGTGATTTGTCCAATGACCTTGAGGGTGTTGCCTGACCTTTTTGCCTGCTTCATTACTGAAGAGGTTAAATTATGGAATCTCTAGGACCTTTCTTGGCTCCAAAATACTATGAATCTGGAAACTAAGATTGCCAGGGAGTGGAATGCCTGTAGAGTTGGAAAAGAATAATAGCCCTCTCAGCAGTGAACTGCTTCCTGCATTAGGACAAAGCTCTCCTGGTGCACAGCCAGTCGCAGCCTGTGGAGCAGATAGCAGCAGGAATCAAGGGCTGCTTGGTGCTTCCACCTACTGGACAGAAGCTGAATGACGTGAGGATTTGCCCCTCTTTTTGGCCGTCCACTGTCCCAAGATATTTGTAATTATCACAACTCTTTTGGGCCAGGGGTACCTTAAGAGATCCATGGCTGGCCTTTTTAAATCCCTTTTTTTGAGACAAGGTCTTGCTGTGTAGCCTAGGCTGGCTTCAAACTCATGGTGCCATGGTGCCTCCCTGATTCAGGCTCCTGAGTCTGGGATTACAGGTAAGTGCCACCATGCTTAGTTTATGTTTCTCAATCATTTTTTCCTTCTTCTTCTTCTTCTTCTTTTTTTTTTTTTCTTGCTATCTTGTTCAGGCTTGCATCAAATTCTAGGCAATCCTCTTGCCTCAGCCTCCTGAGTGCTGGGATTACAGAAGAGAAGCACCATGCTCAGCTGTATTTCTTAACCTTAAAACAAAACTTCCAATGTTTATAATCTTATTAGAGAAGGAATCTAGGTCTTTGGATATAAAAACAAAATCATTGCTATCTTCCTGAGCTATCATGCTGACATCATTCTTGGTAAATCCCTCACCCCTCTACCCCTTTTTCTTTTTTTGCGTAGCCTTTTCTTCTAATGTGATTTTCCTTGCCCCATTTTCTTTATTCAGCTTTGAAGAGTTCAAAGCTTCAGCCAGTGCTCTAGACAACCTCAAGGACAAAGGCACTGAGGAAATTTAGCGGAGTCTCCATCCTGGAAAGACTAAGGATTAACAGAAGGATACAGCTGTGTGACTGATGTGTCCTTTTATTGTGTTTGGCTATAGGAACCTGCCCCTCTCCATTGGAATTTCCATGCCCATCGTCACCATCATCTACATCTTGACCAATGTGGCCTACTACACTGTGCTAGACTTGAAGGACATCTTGAGCAGTGATGCTGTTGCTGTGGTAAAGGACTTTTACTTACAGGAGGTCAATGGCGCATGGTGGGCTTCTGGAAATATCTGTTCTTTATAGCCTTTGACAAAAGAAGGCCAGTTAGGATACTAGGTTTGCAAAAGTTCTGTTAGCCCATTGTGGAAGTTTCAACTTCTGAAAGGAGGAATCTAGGGGCAAGCCTCCTGATGTCTTTCATACTTTAGGCTTTTTTTTTTCTTTTTGAGAGAGGATTCCACTGCAGTTTAGCCTGGCCTTGAGCTCACTTTGTATCCCAGGCTGGTCTCAAACTTGCAACAGTTCTCCTGCCTCAGCATCCTGAATGCTGGGATTACAGGCATTTGCTACCACACCTGGCTAGATTCTTCAAATAATTGTTTTCTATTCCTTTCCCTTAGACCTTTGCAGACCAGATTTTTGGAATATTCAACTGGACAATTCCCCTGGCAGTTGCATTATCTTGCTTTGGTGGCCTCAATGCCTCCATTGTGGCTGCTTCTAGGTAAGAGGGGCATCTTCTGCCGGTGGGGTTGTGTATTCCAAAGAGCCACTGCAGGAGGTAGTACAACTTACAGGACCTGGACTTTAGAATCATCTGTCTGCTCCAACCTTTCTTTTTTTGTCTTTTTTTTATCGGTACCGGGGATCGAACTCACGACTGCCTGCTTGCAAGGCAGGTGCTTATGCTGCTGAGCTAAATCCCCAGCCCCTCTCCAACCTTTCTTATTCCCAGTGGTAGCCTCCAGTTTTTCCTCTCAATACTGAAATCCCTTCTATAGTGTTCACATCTTTCAAAGGGATGGCAAACAGGGAAGCTGTGTGGCAGGTAAGCCAGTCTGATCCCATGCCCACAATTTCCTTAGCCTTTCCTATCTTCCTAAACAGGCTTTTCTTTGTGGGCTCAAGAGAAGGCCACCTTCCTGATGCCATCTGCATGATTCACGTGGAGCGGTTCACACCTGTGCCTTCCCTGCTCTTCAATGTGAGTGTCTCAAGGATAAGACTGAAACCCATATATTGTGGGGGAGGCTTTGGTAGATGTGACTGTTCCTATCTTTCTGAAAGCCTAAAGGGGATTGTGGTAGAGAAAGTACTGATGCAATCCCCGCCATGGGCCAGGCACTGTGTCAGCTGCTGCAGTGGTTTCTAGGAGGCTGATTTCTCTGAGCAGTGGGAACTGCATCGGGTCTAAGATACGGCATCAAGCATGTGGAATATATAGCAGTGATGAAGAGTCGTGACAGTGAGGCAGGCAGCCTTTTTTTGACATTGCTTGCCCTGCATTTTTTTCTAAGGGAAGAAGTAATTATTTCCACAGAAGTGTTTAATTAAGGAAAAACAAAAACCACCCCCCCTCCCCCCAACTCTTTGGAGGAGGAAGCACAGTTGCAGTAGCTTTTGAAGATCAGGGTTAAAATAGTGCAGATGAAGTTTAGGGAAGAAGAGCATCAGAGTCCTGAAGTTCTGTAGCAAAGCAGTGGAACTGGAGATACGAATTAGAAATAAAAAGTTGGAATCATAATGTAAAGGAAGGCACTTTCAAGGGATTATTTTGGGTATTACATTGCTAACATATTGGTTCATAGTTTCCAAGGTTGCAGTCCATGGTTAGCTGGCCCTAAGGCAGGAAAAATGTGCTGAAGGGAAATTTCACTTCTTGGCAGCTGGGAAAGGGAGCACCAGAGAGGAAGGGGCCTGGGACCTAACACGGTCCCCACAAGTCATGTTCCAGGACCCATCATTCAGATGTTCATGCCACTTGGCAAAGAACTGAAGAATGAGCTGGAAATCCAGTCAATGAATTACTGACTTGTACTAGAGAGGGAATGAAGGGCTGAAACTAAGGGTGCTGAAGGGTGAGAACACAAGAGGACAGATGAGAAGACTCTGAAGACTCGGCAGGGACTGGTTTGTGGGGAGCAAAGGGAGTGACAGGGACCCCAAAGGGCACTGACTTGGGCTTGTGCCTGTAGGGCATCATGGCACTGATCTACCTGTGTGTGGAGGACGTCTTCCAGCTGATTAACTACTACAGCTTCAGCTACTGGTTCTTTGTGGGGCTTTCCATTGCGGGTCAGCTCTATCTGCGCTGGAAGGAACCTGAGCGATCTCGTCCTCTCAAGGTAACTTCTGTCTCCTTTTGCTCCATCTGGCTATAGCTTGGTTACAGGGCCTTTACATTGATCTGCACATACAGCTCTTTATATACTAAGTTTTGAGACAGGGTTTTCCTAAGTTGCCCAGGCTGGGTCAAGCTTGTGATCCTCCTGCCTCTCAGTTCCACCAGAGTACTGAGATGACAGGTTTGTGCCCCTTTGCCCAGCTTACAGGGGAGTCTTACAGGACCATTTATTCAAAAGCCTTTGCCTTGGACTTGGTGGTTTTGTTGAAATGATGGGAACAAAGGCAGGCCGAGTGCTTTGGTCTTATTTTTGTGGTGCTGGGGATTGAACCTGGGGTTTGGGCATGCTTGGTTAGCATTCCACACACTGCTAAGGTGGGGTGATTCCAGCTGCCAAGAAAACCAAGCTAACTCCTGGTTGTCTCCTGTGCCCTCAGCTCAGCCTTTTCTTCCCTGTGGTCTTCTGCCTCTGTACCATCTTCCTGGTGGCTGTTCCACTTTACAGTGACACCATCAGCTCCCTCATTGGCATTGGCATTGCCCTCTCCGGCTTGCCCTTCTACTTTCTCATCATCAAGGTGCCAGAAGAAAAACGACCGCACTGCCTTCGAAGGATTGTGGGTAAGCTTTGGATCCTCAAGTTGGCTCAGTGACTTTGAAGGGGTTGTTTTTTCTAGGCTCCTAGTCACTTCTGCCATGGACCTTTCCCATTTTAACCCCTTAGCTTAACTAATTCATTCCCTTCAATGCCCCTGGAACTCAGCCCAGTTGGCCTTCTCTATTTTAACTCACACTTTTCTTTGCAGCATCTGCCACATGGTACATCCAAGTCCTGTGTATGTCAGTGGCTGCAGAAATGGACTTTGAAGATGGAGAAGGGATGTCCAAGCAGGAAGATCCCAAGTCTAACTAAATACCACCTGGGTCCTAGGTCGTGGAGAACAAAGGCTGGTCTGCTACTGGTTAGAGCTGAAGAAGCTGAACAGGAACACTCCCTTCTCCGGAGGTGCTTGCCCAGAAGCCTGGTCTAGGCAGTTTTACCTCTAAACTTGCTTTTTAGAGATGCAAAGTAATTTATTTGTTTTGCTACATATCGTTCCTGATTCTGTAAAGGGACAATAAAGCAGACTGTACTGGGGAGCATGGCACCTCTGGGTTTGCCTATCTACTCTTTCTTGGGCTGTGCTCCATATGTGTCTCATTTAGAGACACGGACCTGTGACGCGGACAATAAAAGGGTTATATTCTAAAAGTCTCAGTGGCTTTATCTTATTAGTGTCTATGAAACACCTCAATTACTCTAAAGATAGACAGACTAAAAACAATGTATCTCATTATTTCTTCCCTCTCAAGCCAGCTGGTAAAAGTTCATAAAATTCATCTCTACACAAAGACAAAAAAACTCCACACTGTTGTGAAATGTATGTGCATAAAATGAACACTACTTTTCATTTTTCCTAATTGTCACTAACCTTCAGCACCTATACTTGCAGTATAGAAAGTGTATAGGAATTCTTGGGTCAAGAAATAGTTTGCAAATGTGGATGAACAACACATGTAAGAGCAAGGTTTAAGCTCTTAATGGCCAGGTTAAAATATTAACACTTCCCAAGAGTAGGCCAGCAAAAGCAATCATGACCCAACCTATTCCCTGTTTTGAGAAACACAACCTCTTTTTTTTTTTTTTATTTTATTTTATTTTATTTTTTTTATTTTTTTTAAAATATGGAACGCTTCACGAATTTGCGTGTCATCCTTGCGCAGGGGCCATGCTAATCTTCTCTGTATCGTTCCAATTTTAGTATATGTGCTGCCGAAGCGAGCACAACCTGTTTCTTTTTAATAAGTACCAGGAAGCAGCCCGTGGCACAGAGGTTTACTGACCCTGTGGATGGAAAGGTCACTTGGACCCCCAGTGCTCTTACACGTGGGAGTGAGTCTGTAGTGCAATCAGTTTTTAAAGTGAACTTCTCTATACCCCAAGGAGATGGCGTTAAGTCTGTGTGAGGATGAACTGAAGAGACAGTTCCTGCCAGGAGGAGCGGGAACACAAGTCAGCCAAGGGTGTCGTGCCAGGGCTTCGACTTTGGTTTTTCGCTGCTGCCGCCACTGCTGGGAGTGTTGGGATCCTTTCCATGCTGCAGCAGAGGGTTGTGGGTAAAGGTCTGTCGTAAGGGACCTGGATGAGAAAAAGAGAAATCGCAGTGAACAGAGGAAAAGAAGACATGGAAGACAGAATCGAACTGCAGTGCTGATTTACCCCTGGCCGCGAGGTCCAAGTGATTGTGCAGGCGTCGCTCACGCTCACGGAGCTGATGTGCGATCTCAGCATTCTTCCAGCCTGTGTGAAGAGGAGCAGTCAGTCCCATCTCCACTTTCAGACCACTGTCGCCTGCTTGTATGTACCTTTACCTTTTTTGAAGCCTGCGATGAGGCCTTCCCGTGGAGGTAATTTGTCAGGGTCATGGACAACACGCGGAGGGATTTTGAGGACAGTGCGTACAGCTGAAATCCGCAGGCAGGACACTTGGACCAGGGAAAACATATTGGAGGAGAGCCAGTACACAAACACTGCCTGGGGGACAACAGAGAGAGGGTGCTAAGGAGCTGCATCAATGGCCAGGCCACTAGGGGGTGGCGAGGTGAGGTGGAGGCTGTGGAGCTGGCTCCAAACTCATTACCTACCGTGGGGAAATGGATGGTTATGGGCAAGACCACCAGGGGCATCACCCTGATGATGTTTCTCATCCACTGAAGGTCAGAGCTCTGCACCCCCGTCTCAGCACCTAGCTGCCAGCAGGGAAAAGCTACAGTAAATGCATGTGACTTTAGTGAGTCTGTTCTCGTCTCTCTTCCATCTACTGTTTCTCCAGGGGGTAGAGAGTGACCGTTCTGCACAATCACTCTGTCCTACTCCTATTCACTCTGGAGGCCTGGTACCTGGTCAACCTGGGCTTACCTCGAGGACACACCACATTGTAGCAGTAACTGCTAGCGGTAATATATACAGGGGATCGCAAACTGTGAGGTCCTGGAACCACCAAAGGCCACCCGTCTGCATGCTGGGCACAGGAAGGTTGGCCATTTCTCTCAAGGCAATGAAGAAGGAGATGAAGATAGGGGCCTATTACACAGGACAAACAGAGATAAACAGTGTCAGCACACTTCAACAGAGAGGACACCTTCACTAACCCATCACTGGGGGCCCAGGGCTGTCACCACCACCTGCTCTTCTGGCATGAGAAACATACAGGAGGTCATTTAATGGGTTCAGGATGAGATAAGAAGGGAAATGGTTTTGCTTACCTGAGTTAGCGGTAGAATGAGAGGTCTTAATAATTTAATATCATGCTTTTTCTGGTACAATGCCATTTCTCTGGAGACCCTGGAAACTGGGTTGAGAAGAAATTAATGGCTAGATGAACAGTTATGTCAGTGAGTGTGAATCCCTTCATCACCTAGGACATGAAATTTCAAACTGACTTTGGCCAACCTTCAGAGGCGTTAGGCCCAACAAACACATACTCTTTAGAACTTGCTCAACTGCAGCAATTCATAGTTTAGGCTGTCCCTTTCTCCCAGTGGAATGCCACAAGTACACATGTGGTCCCCACCATGGTCAGCCTGCTGATGACTTACACTCAGCACTGTCTCCTGCCAACTTGGCCTCTCGGATTCGAGCAGAAAACCTCTGGATCTCTGGTGAATGGTTGTGGATCTTGGCTGCCTCTCGCTGGCCCTTTACAATAACAGGAAAAATCAGGCAGCGGGCAAGGACTGTACCTGGAAAATACAAAATAGGATTGGCATAAACTGAAAGCAGTTCTGCAACTAGGAGTTCTGCAACTAAGGTCTTTAGCTCCTCACTTAAGTCTTTCTGTATTCTAGACTTTTTCACCCTGTGGCTAATGCCCAAGGAGCCCAAAAATTAGGACAGAGTATTGACTTAGTGTCTGCTCCGGCATCACAAAAGTTCAGCAGTAACCTCTCTAAGCAGATGCCCAGGAATCTCGTTTGTCTGCTTGAACAAAAAGGCAACAGGAGCTTCTTTACCTCAATTGCCCCTAAACTTTTCCATGACTAGTGAAACTTTTCCCCTTAAGCTTTTATTTGTATATAGACACTATACACAAATAAATCAAGCTGCCCTGAGTGAAGGAAAGCTGCGCTTTTTATGCTGGAGCACGTATCTAGCTTTGAGGGACCTTTCTAAAACTCTGCAGCTCTGGGGAATGAGGTTTGAAAGCAACTGTTCTAAATCCCTGAAGTAGAAAGTAATTTGGTGGCTTACTGCTTTAGCTCTGTTAATCTTTTCTTTATACTTTGTCTAACCGGTCATTTCCACAACTGTTTTTACTGGGGATTTAACCCATACCTTCACATTGAGTTATACCCCCAACTCTTTTTTTTTGGTACCAGGGATTGAACTCATGACTTCGTGCTTGCCAAGCAGGTGCTTACGCCACTAAGTTAAATCCCCAGCCTCCAACTTTTTTTCAAATTTGAGACAAGATCAAAGATTTTAAGTTGCCCAGGCTGCGTTTGAGTTTGCAATTCTCCTGCTTCAGCCTCAGACTGCTGGAATTAGAACCATGACTGGCTTCTAACAGATACTTAGTTTATGGCATCTAGAGACATATGAATGTTTGGGTTGAGAAGAGACCAGAGAGCTAAGGGTGAAACTCAGAATATCAGCACTGAAGAGGCAGTTAAGGGTACTGGGTAGTGAAGATGGCATGGTCAGAAAGTCAAAACCAGGAAAAGATTTTCATAAAAGGTAAGAATAATATTTCAAGTTTTAAAACAGTTAAAGTAGAAAGGTCAAGTATGATATGAAAAGCACATGTAGTAATGGAGGCATTGGCAGTTAGAGTGGGATGATTTTAGTAAAGCCCAGACTGCTGAAGGTTAAAGAGTAAGGAGGAAGATGGGGAGCCACTGGATGCAGATCTTCTTAATTATAAGAGATAAAAGGAAACAAAGAGGGACAAATATGAAAGGAAGAAAATCTGCCACGATTGACCCATGGGTCATGGTTGAGGGTGATCATATGTAGGGCAGTAAGGAGGAAGACATTGAAGGTGCAGGAAAGAGGAGACAATTGATGTGGCAAGGTATAAGGAGAAACAGGATTGCAAATCACCATTTTGACCTTCACAAAAGCAGTACTGAGTGGCTTCTTATTTGGGGGTTTAAGTGCCTGATCTGACTTTCTACTCTACGACACAAAGGTAGCTTTGTTCATGTTAATAAGATGCCCTTACTCCATTTCCCTGCCTACATTCAAGTGTTTATAACTTTTTTTTTTTGGTACTGGGGATTGAACTCCTGACCTTGCGCTTGCTAGGCAGGCACTTGTGCCACTGAGCTAAATTCCCAGCCCAAAGTATTTATACTTTTTGAGCCCCAGATGATCAAGTGGTTTTGTAATGCTCTTTAGAACCTATAACTATAGTACATCTAAGTACCTTGAGCTTCATTTGAATAATCTTCTTTTCTGACCCTTAAATTTCTATTCACAGAACTGTCATCTTTAAGGGTCCCCCTCAAACACCCCCTTTCCTCTACCCTTGTCCAGGATATATTCTCCCTTACATCCAGCGATGGCCCCCCACCAAGGTAGGCCCAGATCAATATGCATAAATTCCAAAAAGTTCTGGATCAGTCCTACTGGAGTGTATGACCCAAGCCCCAGTTCTGTGAAGCTTGGTTCTACAGCAGCTTGGACTACATCTGTAGCTTCTCCAGGAGCCACCTCAGGTACCACGGCGGGTGAGGGAGTTGCAGGAACAACAGGAGGGGCCTGGACCTGTGTAAAAGGAGGCCATGTGTGGCATTTAGTCATGTGGGACTTGCAGAAAGGAGGTCCTTCTAACAGCCATGTCCAACCTGCAGTCTGCAAGTTGAACATGCCTGTGTCTTAATAAAACATATATGTTTATATACATACATATATATATATATATACCCACACACACATATATATGTATGTTTTGTAACATATATGTTAACTATGTATTTTATATGTGGCCCAAGACAATTCTTCTTTACTCAGTATAACTCAGGCAAGCTATGCTGCCAGATTCTGGGGGGCCAGCAGGCTAGACACACCTACACAGTAACTATTGCTGGTTTCCATTTTGTCAACTCTACTTCTCGTTTTCCCACTTGGCCTACAATGCTCCTAGAGTTCATGCTTTAAAAAGTCACATTATTTTTACAGAAGGAGAAATTACTTACATTGAGATTACGACTTCCCTTTATGCTGGGAAGTTACTTGAATTAGTGCCCAAAGTTTAGTCATGTGAACATCGATATCACCATTTTTTTTTCTGTATATTGAAACTAGTCATGCTTAACAATTTCTCGTTAAATCTTTAAAAAAGATTTGTCTCCAGAGCTGGCGATTGAACCCAGTGTTTCCAGCAGGCTAGGAAATTGCTCTACCAACGAGTTACATCCCCAGTCCTCAACTCAGTTTTTGTGACCAGTAAACTTATTTGATCTCCCAAGAGACAGTATTCACAAAATCACGTATTTGACGTGGAATTTACAGTTTCTATAGCACACAACCTGGAATCACATCTCACACACATCTTCATTGGCTTGCCACATCTGACACAGACACACAATGCCTAGCATGTAACACTTTTTTTTGTACTTTCACTTATTTCCTAATTGAGTTGAAAACTCCAAGCAGGATGTTCATATTTTTGCGAAACTGTAATGTGGAAAAGAACTCTGCTACGTGTTTTCACTTCTTGTAAACGAACAGTGAGGCGTCGTACCTGGGCTTCCGCAAAGGAGACGGCAGAGGTACTGAGGCAGCGGGGGCCGGACACAGCGAGGAGGACGCATTGCGGTCGCCCGCAGCTCCGACCGGCTGGGATCCGGAACCCGGTGACCTGTGCTTTCCAGGGCCACTGCGAGGGCTCCGCGACGCTGTGGAACTGCCCAGGGAAAACGATAACGGAGCCTTTTACTGAGAGTGTGGGAGCCTCAGGGCCTTCTTTATGCTTCCGCCCTCCAAACAGGCTGAGGCCGGGGCTGTAGCTCTGCGCGCGCTGACTGCTGGCCGGAAGGCAGCAACAGGTGCGTGTAGGGCGGCGCTCAGGTGGTCTGCATCTGAGTTGCCGCAGACTCGGGCTGGGATACAGAGGACCCCGCCGAAGGGCGCTGACAGGGGCGAAGGCAGCCGCGGGAAACCGCTAACCGGAGCCATAACCCTCCCATGTCCTCAAGCGATGCTAGGTCATGACACGCTGGTCCCGGCCACCGGGTCAGCATCTGTTCATATCCTCAGCTCTGCTTGCTGGGACAGGGTAGCATCCTGGTGCTCAGCCTCCCGCAACTTTACCTGACGCTGGGGTCGTAGCAAGCGCAGAAGCTGCTGGCGTCCGCACATCAAGGATGCCGCCATTTTGACCGGAAGCGGATTTGCCTTTGCGCTTGCGCAGTTAGAACGCGACGCCGCAGAAGGCGGCCCTCTTGGAAATGGGCGTGGAAATCGTAGTTGTCCTCGCCCTCCAGGTAGTACAGAAGGTAGGTGGGTGGCCATATTTGAAGTGGGTACGAACCCTCGGAGCCGCATTAGCAATCGCGTAAAACCCGTGCCTTGCAGAGATTGGAAGGCTGAAGTCAAGAGCCACTTTAGTCGCCGTTGTTGGTGATGGGGTAATCCTGGGGTTTCCCAAGTTGTCCTCTAATTTTTGTCAAAAAAAAGCCTGCAGAGGGCAGGGGATATGACTCAGCGGCACAGCGCTTTCCTGGCAACCACAAGGTCCAGAGTTTGATTCCTGGCTCCAAAAAAACCCTCTCCAAAAACCAAATAAAAACGGCCTTTAGATGACTGGCTGTGCTTGGCGTGGATTTTTCTTTTCATTTTGAGACAGGGTTTTGCAATGCAGTTCAGGCCGGCCTTGAACTCATTGCCGAGCTCAGGCTGGCCTCGAACTTGCAGTAGTTCTCCTTCCTCAAACTCCCGGAGTGCTGGGATTATAAGCATGTGCTACCATGCCTGGTTGGTGTAGACGTCACACCTGGTGATGTTCAGTTGCTATTACTGTATGACATTGAAGTTGTAGACTCAATGAAAGTTGAGGGTAGTCTGTAGTCTGACAGAAATGGAGGGAAGATAGCTTGGAGTAAATATTTTCCTCTCCTATATTAGGTATGAAGGTACACACCTGTTATCCTAGCATTGAGGAGGCAGAGGTGGGAGGATTGGCTCAAGTATGACCAGCTGGGCTACACAGTTCAAGGCCACACAGAAATCCTGCCTCCAAACCAAACCAAACCAAAAACAACAACAACAACAAACTGAAAACAAAAGAAACAAACAAAAGCAAAACAAAATGCCAGTAACAAAATCCAAAGTGCCACCTTCCCCATTTCCCTTGTTTGAGTGGGGTTGTGTGTGTAAAGTGTGTGACCATAAGGCTACCATGTTCGCCATAAGGTCTAATGTGCTAAAATGAAAAGCTAACATGTTGAAGATGGTTAAATGAAAGCAAAATAAACCTGATTGCTTGGTGATATCATTGAGTTGCTGTACCACTCTTTTTTTTTTCTTTGTCTTTTTCCTTTTTATCGGTACCAGGGATTGAACTCACGACTGCCTGCTTGTAAGGCAGGCGCTTATGCCGCTGAGCTAAATCCCCAGCCCCTTGTTGTACCACTCTTATAACCACCTATTTCTAGACTTGGTTGTGTAATGTAATTAGAGGTCTTTATTGTCCATTCTTAAGTTTCTGTCTTTGGGTGTTCTATTTTTCAAAGCAGACAGCATCCCTGGAAGATGTGTGAGGTTAAGTTCTCTTCCTCTGTGGGGCTGCGGTGCTGGGGAGGATTACTGCCTAGAAGGCTGGCATTAATTATATTTGAACTTGTTGCTGGAGGCTCAGGGATTGGGAAGTCTCAAAAGACCTAGCTTGGCCACCTATCCTAAAAAATCAATCAATGAGACAGGCAATTGTGGAGGGCAGGAAAGGAGCTTTAGTCAATATGACCATGCTGGGAAGGACATGATCAGTTCAAGATCTGTCTTTAAGGGACTGACAGAAGCTTTGGGATTTTACAAAAAAAGGAACAGAGACAAGGGCTGGGCGTCTGCATAGCTGAGGGGTTTGCATAGCTGGCAGAATTGGTAGTCTGTGGTCTGGATGATTGCTATGCCTGGACTGGTTCTGTGAGGTAGCTCTGAAAAAGTCCTTATGGCTTGCAGGAGGAGGACTCTGGGTTCTGTGAGATGTTTGCTTCTGCTTGGGTGTGGGCAGGCATTTCATTACCACTAGAGCTTACTGAGGTATGTTTTATATTTAGTGTTTTGCACTTATATTTGTGTATCTTTGTTAGTCTTCCTGAAATGGGTCCTATTTCCTCCTTTAGGGTTAGGGTATATTTCTGGAGATAGGGTCCTTCCTTGGACAATCTCTGCTCTCACAGCTCTCTCTACAACTCATCTTCTGGATGGGGACAAAGAATCTTTCAAAGCAAGATCAAGTCAGAGTCCCAGCCTGGACAACATAGTGAGACCAGTTTGTTTGTAGGGGTTTTTGTCCTTAATCAGCTGGCTCCAAGACAGGGTGGCATCACAGAGGAGAAACAGTTCATGGCAGAGCAGGCCGGAGGTAGTGAACAACAGAACTGCAGATTTTAAAAGCCACGGCTTCGGTGGTGGTCACTGTAGTTTAAAAATATCAGCGGGTGCAGCTTAATTATGTTTGCAGGCTGTGTGTGTGTATGTGTGTGTGTGTGTGCACGCGTGCATGTTGCATGGCACTGTAGGTGGGATGGGGAGAGGGGAGAAGTATATTAAAACTGATACATAGCTTCAGATTTTAGGCAGAGGGAGGAGAGAGCCTGGAATAGCCGAAAGGTGTACTAAGCTCCTTTGTCTTTCTCAATGAATGCCGCATGAAAGAGATGAGGCAGAGTTTTTTCCAGCATAGGCTTTAATCTGAAAAGCAACTGGAATTTCAGGGAGGAAGCAGCCTGTATATCCACTTGGGAAATGCAGAGCCTATAGAATAATTGGCACTGCCCAGAGGAACTTGTAGGCTTCACAGTTTCAGGATGGCCTAGAAGTGTGATATGGGTTCTGTTTATTGTAATTTACAGCTTTTCTTATGCTACCATGTAAAGAATATTGAAGTTGATACTCGGAGAAAGAGGGCTTATTTAACATTTATCTGATAGACCTTTTTTTTTTTTTTTTTTTTTTTTTTTTTTAGAGAGGCTTTACTATGTAGTTGAGTCTGGCTTTGAACTCACTGCATAACCCAGGATGGCCTCAGACTTGTGGCAGTCCTCCTGCCTCAGCCTCCAGAGTAGTGGGATTACAGGTATATGCTCTCACACCTGACTTACTTTTTTTTCTTTCTTTCTTTCTTTCTTTCTTTCTTCCTCTCTCTCTTTCTTTTTTTCTTTCTCTCTCTCTTTCTTTCTTTTGAGATAGGGTCTCATTATGCAGTTTAGGCTGGCCTTGAGCTCACTCTGGAGCCCAGGCTGACCTTGAACTCGTGGCAATCCTCGTGCCTTAGTTTCTCGAGTACTGGAATTACAGGCATGTGCCACCATGTCTGGAAACTGTTTTTCCCTTCAGTACTGGGAATTTTACCTAGAGCCTTTGTACTCAGTTACATACCCAACCCTCTGTATTTTTTATTTTGGGGCAGAACCTGGCTAAATCATTAAGGTGGCCAGGCTGAGCTTGAACTTACAATCTTCCTGCTTCAGCCTCTCAAGTAGCTGGATGTGCCACAAGGCCCACACAAAAGTCTCACTTATATTGTACAATAAATAACATAGAAACCACCAGTACTTGATATTTAAAATCACAAACTAAGTATAAACATAAAATTTTATCAGTGCATGAAAAGTGAATACACATCTTTTTCTGGACATAATGGAGTGGATTTACTCAAAACAACCAGAAAACTGAACAAGTATACAAAATAACTGCGTTCAGATATTTCACAGCAGACAGTGCAGCACTGTGGTCTTTATGACAAGGGAAACAACAGGCTCATCTATCCAGCTGTCCAAGCCTTCTTCCCAGAGGCGCTTTCCTGACTATGCAAAGGAAGTGGAAAGCCAAGTGCGGCTCGTGGCCTTGCTGGATGAGAAGCTGAGATCACAGCTTGGGGAGGTTGTTACAGCTGAGAGTGCTGGAGGTGAAGGAGCGATGGAGAGAAAGAGCTCTAGAAACCCCATGGCCTCCCCTTGAGTCTTTGCTTGATGCTAAACTGTACACAAATAGGGAGAAACTTCAAATATGCTGACAAGGAACCGCTGAGGAACTGTAAGCTGGATGATTACTGAAGTTCACACAGGGCCCAGAGTTATTCCATTCATCCAGAGAGGGGAGACTTTCTTGAACTCCTGGAACATTAGCAAGTAGAGACATGGAAGAGTTATGTCCTTTTTTTTTTTTTTTTTTTTGGGACAGGGTCATGATAATGTTTGAGGCCTCAAACTTTAGTTAGTCCTCCTGCCTCAGCTTCCTGACAGCAGGGGTTATGGCAGGTTACAGTTTAATAGTAGGGCTAAACCATCTAACAAAGCTACACAGTACCCATTATAACAAAGCTTAAATATAAGTGTTGAGAGGATCAAGGCTGATCTACAAAAAAGTGCCAAAACTGAACATTCTTTAAAGAAAAATAACATGATCTAGACACTCAATAATGTAACATTCATGTGTTTTATTTAATAGCCAAGAAAAGCTACTAGACAGACTGATGCACACCTGCAGCCCCATCACGTAAGAGACTGAGGCAGGAGATCTCAATGAGTTCAAGGGCTGCCTGGACTATACAGAAAGACCTTGTTTCAAATTGAACCAATCCAAACCAAACCAAATTACTAAACAGGCCAAAAAAAAAAATCAAGAATAGAGAAGAGTCAATAGGAACAAACTCAGAAGAGACAGTAATAATGAACCAGAAGGCAATAATATTAAAACAGCTATTTTAACTATGCTTAAGAATAGTGCAGTATGTGCTTAGCATGTTTCAGGTGTTGGGTTCAATTTCCAGGACACATGCACTGATAAATTTAAAGGAAACTTTTAAGTAAGAACTAAATGAAACTAGTAGAGATGATATTTGTATAAATTGCTGGATGACTTATCAGCATATTAGATACTGTGAAATGAAATAATTTCTGTTTATTTGAAAAAATCAGACTAAATAAAACTAAAAAATTACACAGCATCTTAATGTCCTGTGGGATGATATCAAGTGGTATAATAGATGTGTGACCACCAGCAGGAGGAGAGCAAAAATAATAGATAAAAGTTTTCAAAAGTAATAAACTCATAGATCCTACAGATTTTTTAAAAATCTTTTTCCTTTTTATCAGTACCAGGGATCAAACTCACAACTGCCTGCTTGCAAGGCAGGCACTTATGCCGCTGAGCTAAATCCCCAGTCCCAATCCTACAGATCTTAAGGAGGATAAACATACAGAAAATCACATCGAGCCTCATTGTGACTGTGTTCACTTTCTGTC